CGGCTTCCTGGTCCAAAACAGTCCAGTAGCACCTTTAAGACCAAGTTTTATTCAAGTACAAGCTCTCCCTCCTCTGCAAGGACAGATCTGCAGGTCCCCCCTCCCCAATAGCTAGCAATCCAAAATAGTTCAGTGGAGCCTGAGTGGTGGGTGTTGCCTCCTGACACACTTCCGGTGATGTCAGGGGGTGTGGCATATGAAAATAAGTTATGCTAATGAGTTATGCTAATAAGCTCCTGCACCTCTTTTTCTACGAAATGACCCCTGAAAAGCAAGGGGAAAAAATGCTACTTAAGAGTGTTGAATCCAGGGCAGATAACCCATGCAGAAATGGCCTAACACTCTGAAGCAGAATTCATTCCAAATAATATTTATCTAGCTTTAATGCAGTGAGGTTGGTTGTTCTGTCTTCCCAACAAAAACTGGGAGAAGAGAAGAAATTATTCACTGTTTATGGAATCTTCCTACTACAGAAGAAAATAAAGGTTGTGTACTTAAAAAGTATGTAATTGAGAACAACTACAATCTTTAATTGGCTTCAGGTTGAAATAGTGACTGACTGATTCACTATGAGCACAGATTGTTAATGAGTCCATGTTAACATAAAGTGATTTGACAATTCACTATAGACTTTTTCAAGCAAGCTGTGCTCATGATGAGTTGCTAAGAGGACAGTTGCTCTGCTACGAGCATAGTAACCTAGTTTCTGACACACCAAAATGGTTTTATGACTTGTCCTCTGTTCTGAACTAGCAGTTACACATAAGAATCATAAGGATTTAAACGGAACCTTCTTTGGACTACTTCAAGCAAGAGAAAAAAAGGAATGAATCTTATTTCAATAGGCTTACATTGGAGTCAATAATGGATTAAATTAATTTAATAATTGATTTAAAACCTTTTGATTAACTAAAAAGTGTTGCCATTCAAAAATGTTAATTTATTTTCAATTCAAAGACTTATAAAAATTCTAATGGACACGTGCCATTTTAGAAGAAGCATTCCTCCTCGTGAATTGAGTTGAACTACTTTCAAGTAAATTCGCATGCAAGCAGTCTGAAAACACTTTTAAACAAATGAGTATTTTTATCTAGCTTCAATCCAGAAACTTTAATCATTCCCAGACATAAAATCTATATCAAATATTCTTATCTCAAAACATCATCAGTATGCCAGACATCAGTTAAAGATTTCTTGGCAGTAATTCCATTGGATTGACACCAAAGTTATCTTCAGTGGAACTAGAGTATAGATTTTCTCTGATTCTCCCCTTTCACTGCAGACTCCATATTGTACCCCACACTGTTCCTGTGAGTCTACTGACCTTAAAGAACAACATTTCATGGAGTGCAGTGGATGTAGTGGTTGTAAGCAAATTCATTCTGGAACACTTTTTTATTGGTAGCTAAGCTTTTCTCTACCACAATGATCATCACTGTCCAGGGTGAGAAGCAGATCTGGTCCCTTTCCTGTTTGTGTTTTGTTGTCCAAACTTAGTAGGAGTTGCTGAAAATCAAGCCAGCACTTATCCCCATACTCCTATCCTGGATTCTGTTTTTTGGTCATGCTGGAGTATGGTAGAATGTGGTGTAAGTGGATGTAGAATGTTTGGAAATGGCTTTTACATAGAAACATTTCATTCCACCCTTGGGAACGAAAAATTTCATTCCACCTTTGGTTACCTTGGGAATGATCTGAAGATGTGAACAGTTAAAAAAAATATTTTAAAGGCTCTGACTCCAGAAGTGAGCGAGACTGGGGGAAACGTGCTGAAAGAAATGGCATGCAGGTTATTAAGGCTTAGGAGACAGTCATTAAGGCTTTAAGCCAGGCAGGCAGGTACCAGGTACCAAAATATTGGCCATATCCAAATGTAAGTTACTGTCATTAAGGATTAATTATAATAATGATGATGAGGTATTTTTATTCAGATTTTGATTATGTCCAATGCCATACTTACTCTGAGGCCTGCCAAATACTGTTCCAACTTCTTATTAAGCAGAATGTAGATGGCAAGAGTGTGGCAAGCTCTGTTAGAAAGGATAGTATTGATCACATCACTGTTCTTATAGCCCAGCTTTTCAGTCATGTAGAGCAGCACACTTTGGCTGATATCTTCTAAGTGGATTCTACAAAAAAAGAAATGGGAACAAGTTAATCTTGCTGTTTTTAAAAGGATTAGAACTGTAAGATAATGGAACAGCTCAGGAGGTCTCTACTGTAAGAGATAGTACTGTAGTCTATTGCAACGTTTATTGTATGTATCACCTCCCTTTGTAGCCCCCTTTCATCATTTATGGTATGTCATGCCTTGGACAGTTTTCTAGTCCTACTGCACTGTTTATTGGAGGTCTTTACTGCCTGACTGAATTATCTTTAGTAGTTTGTAATCTGTTTTAAATCAGTGAGAAAGACAGGCTAAAAATGAAGTTAGTAACAACAATAATTTGCCTCTCTGTAATAAAAATGTGCGTGTGTGTGTGTGTGTAAATAACCAGGTCTCTGACCTTGTGAAGCTGCATTATGTTTGAAAGAAAAAGCCAAATGTTAGTGACCTACATTATGGCATCAAAATTTTTGGCATTTTAATTCTACATAGTGTCAGTTTGTTCAAATAAGGTATGCAAATACATAAACATGCACTGGAAATATGCATGCCCCATAACACACACATACATAGGCTAATTTCTTTTTGGGTGGTTGAGCATTTGTGAGCAAATATCTTTACTGCTTGATTGTAAAGCTTTAGCTGTGAAGATGCTGAGTACAACCTCTAAAACAGCTTTTTAAGATATCATCACTGTGTCATAGATTATGGATGGAATCCTATGGATCCCTTTCTCTAAGGGCAGCACTTCTTTCCAAGAGCCTTCTACTGACATAAGAAGCTCTTTCTACTGGCAATCCCTATCACTTTAATGCAAGGTTCATTGTGCTAAGGAAGGGTACTGTCATTAGTAGAATGGACTGATACAATCCAACCCATTGGATTTAAGAAGATCTTCAAATGGTTCAGCAACGTTATCTGAGGTTATATTGTCAAAAGAAGACAGTGCTTCGGCTCAGTATCATTTTTAGGGCATTATCCCCCAAATGTATTAAATATACTGCATTTATTTATTGCATATATGGAACATGAAATGCATTTGCATGTGTTCAAAATATATGGGCGTGATCCAAGTGCTTTAGGTCCCATTGTTTTCAGCAGAGATTTAAACAATTCGAACGATAAGGAATTATCCATCTGTCAAATTCTTTCAATTAAAGCAATGGGATATAAAATGCTTGACTGTCACTGGACCATGCACTGCATTTATAAATCTTGATCACCATATATATACACACATATACACACACACACACACACACATACATACACACATACTAGGAATAAGGCCCACTGTGGAAATAAATACAACGAGCTCTAGAAAGAGGCTCTGGGAGAGTGCTAAAGCCTTGGGCACTCAGTGTCAATTTGCTGTGGTGACCTCCTCAAACCCCACCCTCTCCAGGCTCCACCCCTGAAATCCCTAGGAATTTCCCAACCTGGAGCTGGCAATCCCATCCCCTTCCCAGCTAACCATCAACCTACTATTATTGGCCCCTGTGACTGCAGCTGACTTCTGCCCTCGCTCCTGGAGATCAGTTGTAATTCTGAGTGATCTCCACCCCTCACCTGGAGATTGGCAACAATGGTCCCCCAGGAGAAAATGGCTGGTTTGGAGGGTGGAGTCTATGGCATTGTGCCTGTCTGAGGTCCCACCCCTCCTCAAACCTCACCCTCTCCAGGCTCCACCCCTCCAATCTCCAGGAATTTCCCAACCTGTAGTTGGCAACCCCATCTCCTTCCCAGCCAAGCATCGACCTGCCATTATCTGCCCCTCTGATTTCAGCTTTCCATCTCCTCCCCCCTCCCTCCTGGAGATCAGTTGTAATTCTAAGTGATCTCCACCCCTCACCTGGAGATTAGCAACAATGATTCCCCAGGAGAAAATGGCTGATTGGGAGGGTGGAGTCTACGGCATTGTACCTGTCTGAGGTGCCACCCCTCCTCAAACCTCACCCTCTCCAGGTTCTACCCTTCAAATCTCCATGAATCTCCAACCTGGTGGTGGCAACCCTATCTCCTTCCCAGCCAACCATCAATGTACCATTATCTGCCCCTCTGACTTAAGGTTTCCATCTCTTCCCCCCTCCCTTCAGCCTCTACCTAGGGAAAGTACAGTCTTTCTCCTCCTCAGTGGGGACCCAAGCAGGAGGAAAGTGACCTCAGCAGGGTATAATGACACACAGCCCATCCTGCAAAGCAGCTGTTTTTTCCAGGGGAGCTGATCTCTGCCATCTGGAGAGCAGTTTATCTCCAGTCCTAATCTGGAGATTGGCAGCAGTGGTTCCCCAGGAGGAAAAGTACAGTCTTTTTCTGCAGTGGAGACCAAAGCAGCTTACATCATTCTCCTCTTCTCCTTTTGATCTGCACAACAGCCCTGTGAGGTAGGTTAGGCTGAAAGTCTGTGATTGGTCTGACATCACCCTCTCAACTTCCACAGCAAGAACCTGGGTTTGGCAGACCCTTCTCTGAAGCGCGAACTGCTATGCCTAGGGTAGCCAACCTTCAGATGAAACCTGAAGATTGTTGGGTATCACAACTGAACTCCAGACAACAAATCTCTCTCCCCCTAGACAAAATAACTGCTTTGGAGGGTGGGCTCTATGGCATTCTATTCAGCTGAGGCCCCTCCCTCCCCAAACTCTGGCTTCCTTAGACTTCACCACAGAATATCCAGGAATTTCCCGACCAGGAGTGGGCAACCCTAGTCAGAACTAGTCCCAATGAGTTCCCCACAAAGGCCTGAAAAGTGCCTCCTGCCTTTGCCTTTTTACTGGCAGAACCAAGCATGGTTGCCTAGCAACAGCCACTGAGGGAAAAGTTAGTCCCACAGGAGCCAAGCAGAAGTGTCTTCATCAGGAGAGACAGCCGTTTGGCAGTTTATTCTGTGAGAGAAGAGTGTCCAGGCTGGCAGTGGGTGGGGGAGAGGAGTTGACCCAGCACCCAGCCAATGGCACACGAGTACTCTTGAGTGGCGGTTGATGGGCCAATGGCTGACAGAGTGCATTGCACAGCCAATGGGAGAGCTGGAAATGGCCAATACATAAGGGAATTATATATATAGGATATGCCTGCTTAATAAAAATTTCTAGTGGCTTCCAATTAGAACAAATTAGAACAAAAGATGTGGAGAAGATTTACAGTTTTTGTACTTGTGGAGAGAGATGTCTTTTAGGACAGAACAAAGGACGTAATACATCCGGGACCTCGTGATCTATTTACACAGACCTGGAAAATGTCATTGGGCATTTTTTTAAACTTTCCTTTGTTCTATAGTATGTATTGTTCTGACACAGATTGTTGTTGTTTTTCACTATAGAGTGTTTTGTACCTAGATTATTAAATGTACACAAGTATGAGTCGAACTTAACAACTATATTTGTATGTGTATATATATCATGTTAAATTATCAAACACTTTCTCTGCATCCAGAAATAAAAACGCTGCTTTCTTTCTTTTCTTGTTCACAAATTCGATTGCATCTATTATGAACTATATATTTTATTTTTCATATACCTCTTTGGTACTAAGCCTGTTTGATCAGTGTGTATTAAATTTGGTATACATTTTCTTAGTCTTTCTGTCATTACTGTGGCAAAGATTGTATAAACTATGTTCAGAAGAGAGATAGGTCTATATGACTATGGAGTGTTGCATCTAGGGTTGCCAATTGAAAAATCTCCTTACTGGGGGACTCCCGGTCCGTGGCTGGAACGCACGCGCCCCGCACGCACGACACGAGGAAGTGACGTTATGACGCCGGGCACGCCGGGCACGGGGCCACGACCATCCGAGGGAAAACCATAGTTTTCCCTCGGATGACCGTGGCCCCGCCCACAGTGTGCCCGGCATCATAACATCACTTCCTGGTGACGCGCACGCCAGGGTGGGGTTCCCCCTGGTGCCCGATCTGCCGGTGGCAGGGAACGGGCCTCTGAGGCGGGGTTTTCCCCGCCCCCTGGGGGGACTTGGCAAGCCTTGGTGCATCACTGCCTTCATTATATATTAGCGTTATATACACCTCTTGCCACGTCAGAGGTATTGTCTTTCCTTCTTTTATCTCTTTCTTAATTTTTTGTAATGGTATCACTAAAACTGTTTGTAATTTATTGCTGTCAGCCCATCCGGGCCTGGTGCTTTGTCCTTTTTCATCTTTTTTTTTAATTCCTGGGAGATCGGCTGAATTGTTATTATTTAGTTTAAAATTTTCCTGTGTTCTGGCGTAAACTTTGTGGTCAGGATGTCTTTTAGATATTCTCTTATTTCTTTTTCTGAGACAGACTTCTTTTTATATAATCCTGAAAGAGCATTGATAAATTGTTCTTATAAAAGACTCTAGAAAGGATAGGATCTCTCCTTGGGCTAGCCTCTGGCTCTGCTTCAGCCTCTCTCTCTCTTGCCCAAGAGATCAGGGAAACTTCTGTTCATTCCCCAGTCCAGTCGGCTGTGGAGTGGCTGAATTTCTGCTGCCTCCCAGGGTTGCCCTACGTCCCTGGCTTGTGGCCTGGTCAGCACAGGCAGCAGGAGCCTTTCCTAACCTCCTGTAGAACGAAGACTGCCTCCTCCCTGGATGGGCTGGAGTCTATATTGATGCTGCCCTGCCCCTTGGGACAGGCCCTCTTTCCCCACACTTTTTGGCCTTGGGGCAGATGGGAACTGTAGGCCAGCAGATGAGGAAGCCTCATTGGACCCAGTGAGTGATACCCCTGCAGGCCCCTCTCTGGAACTACAGCTCAATTAAACCTTATGGGGGAACATTTTAAACAAACAACCACAGTTGGCAGCCATCCTTCAAACACAGGTAACTGCCATTTCATTACACCTACCAACAGCCACTGAGGGGAAAGTTAGTCCCCCACAGGAGGCAAGCAGGAGAAGCGTCTTCGTCAAGAGAGAAAGCTGTTTGCCAGTAATTCTGACAGGGCACAGTGGCTGAAGGGGGAATGGGTGGGGAAGAGGAGCAAACCCAGCACCCGGCCAATGGCATGCGAGTACTCTTAAGTGGCGGTTGATGGGCCAATGGCTAAGGGAGTGCATTCACAGCCAATGGGAGAGCTGCAAAGTGCCACTCCAAAACACAATTATATATAAGGAGAGAAGATATATATATCCTTCTCATCATTATATATCCACATCTCTATATATTCAATTGTTTCTGAAGCATGCCATTAAACTGCCTGTAATTAATTGCCTTCAGAAAACTGAGAGTAAGTCAATTAGCGACACTAGGCTTTAAAAAGCTATAGGGAATTATTTGAATGAAAATATTTTAACCCCTTTTCTTTGTTCCTCATATATTTTTCAGCTGTATCTCCTGTCTGCCAGTAAAGCCAATACAACCATCAAGTAAAAGTGTGTATCATGTATAATGTTAAGTTTCATGAAAGAATTTCTTGGTGACTGTGCTCTTATTCTGACTTGGCTGTCTATGTTAGTTTACACTCAAATTGTAAATGTTATATGATCTGCTCAGCTGACATGTCAATCAGGCACAACTTGTATTTTTTCTTTCCTTGGCAATATCCTTCAGGAGAAGGATTTCATATTCTTGGATCATTCAAAATCAGTTCAAACCAAAGCATTCAAGTGTCATTGGAATTTTTTTGTTCTATCTTTACTCCTTAGTCTGCTTCACTGACATCAACTGATGATTTTTATCTAGAGATTTTGTCAGAGGATAGTAGTAGAAGAAGAAGAGAAGAAAATGAATTTATACCTAACTCTTCAGTCAGAATCTCAAAGCGGGTTACAAACTCCTTTTCCCTCCCCTCCCCACAACAGACACCCTGTGAGGTAGGCGGGACTGAGAGAGCTCTTTCCAGAACTGTCCTTGAGAGAACAGCTCTGACAGAACTATGGCTTGCCCAAGGTCACCCAGCAGCTGCAAGTGGAGGAGTGGGGAATCAAACCCGGTTCTCCCACATTAGAGTCCGCACACTTAACCACTACACCAAACAATAGAACACCTAGATTTAAGTCCAGTAGCACCTTAGAGACCAACAAGATTTTCAGGGTATGAGCTTACACTGCAATCTTCTCCGTTGGAATTCCTACAAATTTCACATCATCAGTATTATAACTGGATTTACGGAACTTAAATACCGTAGCGAGGCACGGGTAGCAGGCCAGTATATATATATATAGATTTAAAATTCTGCAGTGCAGATTTTTTTGATGGGCGGGGGTCCAAGTTTGGCAGAGGGTGGCCTCTGGGAATGGACACATTTCAAATAAATTGCATATTTATGAAAGAAAAAAACCTATAGTTTCTTTTTCACCCCACATAGTGATTGTAATGCCCTAGTTTGTGGAGTAAAGTATAATTTAATTTATTCAGTTAGCATTGGGACTGTCCAAAGTCACTATTTAATCTGATGCTTCATATCAATAAGCAGCTATTCAGGTCTTTGAGAGCCAGTTTGGTGTAGTGGTTAAGTGTGCGGACTCTAATCTGGGAGAACCGGGTTTGATTCCCCACTCCTCCACTTGCACCTGGCTGGATGACCTTGGGCAAGTCGTAGTTCTGACAAGAGCTGTTCTTGAAAAAGAGCAGTTTCTATCAGACCTCTCTCAGCCCCACCTACCTCACAGGGTGTCTGTTGTGGGGAGGGGAAGGGAAAGGAGTTTGTAAGCCGCTTTGAGACTCCTTTGGGTAGTGAAGGGCAGGGTATAAATCCAATCTCTTCTCTTCTTCTTCTTCTTTGGCAGATGTGTTGGAAGACATATGAAAACCATGTGTGGGTTGTTATCACTTTTTATTACTGCACATTTTTCTCCATCTGCAAGTTCATACAATGGAACAGACATGTGCAATCATCAGGTGTGTTTATCGATACATATCTTTCACTGTTTTGCAATTTGCACGGAGGGGGGGGCAAGATTTAGGAAATTCACAATGTTTGAAGGGCTCCAAAGATTAAGCAGAACAGCAATGCTTTGACAGTGATTCATTGCATCCTCCTGCCTCATCTACTAAAGAGGTCATTTTTTCCCCCCTGTGGTTCATTTACCCACCACTTTTGTGGCTAGAAGCCAGCTTCTAATTTCCTTATAATCACAATAATGTTTATATCCATCAAGTAAAATCTGAACTAGAGACTTAGGAAAGGTACCAGCCTCCTCTGCTGTATTAATATGTGTTACATAACCCTCATTACCATAGTAACTAGCACCTCATAATTACTGAAAGTTTTTATCCTCACAAAACCCTTGCTGAGGTTGGGAAATATCATCCCACACATTAACAGGGCCAGGACAAAGGCAAAGAGAAAGCAATGCAACTTTCCAAAGGTTTTGCCAGAGGTCTCAGGCTGATACAGGAATTGATCCCAGCAATCCTAGGACCAGCTCCAGTATACAAACCATGAGAAATAATTTTTCTTCTCGTTCTGTATGGTTGATGAAATAAGATGAAGGAGAATGCGAAATGACAGCTGGTACAGCAAAGTGGCTAGAAGTGTACGCTCATTCAAGCCTCTTCTCTCATTTCGGCTAGCTAGAATGACTTTTGTGGAATTTTCTCCCATTCGCAGCACTACCTTACTTGGTATAGTCTGTGCTTTGTACTTTACCTGTTTGGATATGTGACACTGTTTAATGGTTTGCCATTTTCATTCAGCCATCGATTTGATAAAGCTTGTTGGATGTTTGGCCTCTTTGTAGGATCTGGCTCTAGCAGAGATCGTAGGAAGTTTATAGCTGCTGCAAAGACATGAAGGAAAAACAAAACAAGTGTCATATGTTTTGTAACTGAATTCAGCAGCTGAGTAATAATGGCAAGCAACCTTACCAAAAATGTTTTAACCCAGAAATATACTATCCAGAGCCTTATATTTATGACACAGAGAAGCATACTGATTTGGATACATAATGGATTGTTTGCAGGCTCTTGAAGGGAACACAATTAGACAGGTTAATGACCTGTACTCATGTGTTCTATGAAGATAATGGGCAGCCACTATAGGCAGGAGTATTTCACAGGCACATGAAAGCCTTCATACCAAATAGGTTGATAGCGGGCAAAGGCATCTCTCTCTCTCTCTCTCTCTCTCTCTCTCTCTCTCTCTCTCTCTCACACACACACACACACACACACACACTGTGTTTAAATAAGAGAGAAAGGTAATAACCTATGTGTAGTCTAAAATAAGCTTTGTGTACATCCAGGAAAAAATCAATATAGCATACTACTTCATATAATTTGAACTCTCAACCTCTCTCTCAAAATGTAGGATGCAATCCACGTGCAACTTAAATTTTAAAAATCTACTTAAAACCATTGTAAAATTCTCAACGGCTATGTTCAAACATAATGACAAATCAAAGTCTATTTTTACAAGAATGCGTATTGCAAGTCCATGGAATTTTAAGGATTCATTAGGGTACCCTGCAAAAATAAGTATAATGAGTACAAATTCTGTGCATCTGGAACAAATCATATTCAACTAAATGAACCCACTGAATATTGAAAAGATACATCAACAACTAATTATTCATAATTCATAAAATATTTATACTGCAAATTACTCTTTTGGCAAGTTTCAACCAACCACAACCTTCTGAAGCAAATGACTATAGACTGATGCAAATGAGTTTTCTCCCATCTTGATAAATCTGCTTGTATCAATTTCCAAGTCTTATGATAACTGTTTTTAAACATGTTTTTAGGCCATGTTAAATTATCAAATGCTTTCTCTGCATCCAGAAATGAAAAAATGCTGCTTTCTTTATTTTCTTCTTCACAATTTCAATTGCATCTATTATGAATCATATATTATCTTTCATGTACCTCTTTGGTACAAAGTCTGTTTGATCAGTGTGTATTAAATTTGGTATACATTGCACAGCCACATTTATTCCCAGATATTTAATGGAATTGGTGGCTACTGTACATTCTATAGTCTTTATAATATCTTCTTGTTGTTGTGTTAAAAACTTTGTTATCATTTTTATCTTCTTCCTGTTGATTTTATACCCTGAGAAGGATCCAAATTCTTCAGTATGTTCCATTACATACTGTAATTACTTTTGGGTATCCAAGACTGTTACCATCACATCGTCTGCATAGCTTTTCACTTTAAATTCTACATCATCTACTTTTATTCCTTTGACCCTTGTGTTTTCCTACTCTTTGTAGCTAAAGTCTTTATCACTAGGATAAATAGTAAGGATGAAAAGGGACATCCTTGGCGTGTTCCTTTTTCAATTGAAATTGCTTCTGTTAATTCTCCATTTATTAAAATCTTTGTTTTTGGTTGGTTCGAGTATATACCTTGCATCCAGTTCCAGAATTTAGAGCCGTAGCCCATATTTTGAAGTACATTCAGTGGAAAAGGTCATTAAATTATCAAACACTTTCTCTGTATCCAGAAATAAAAATGCTGCTTTCTTTTTTTTCTTGTTCACAATTCAATGCATCTTTATGAATCATATATGATCTTTCATGTAACTCTTTGGTACAAAGTCTGTTTGATCAGTGTGTATTAAATTTGGCATACATTTTCTTAGTCTTTCTGCCATTACTGTGGCAAAGATTTCAGTAGAGAGGGAGGTCTATATGACTTTGGTAGCAATGAATCACTGCCTTCTTTACATATCAATGTCATATATGCCTCTTACCACGTCAGAGGTATTGTCTTTCTTTCTCTTATCATATTCATAATTTTTTATAATGGCATCAATAAAATTTCTTCAAAATGTTTGCAATACATTGTCAGCCCATCCAGACCTGGTGCTTTATCCTTTTTCATATTTTTATTGCCTGGGAGACTTCTTGTATTGTCATTATTTGGTTTAAAATTTATATCTGTGTTCTGGAATAAACTTTGTGGTTGGGATGTCTTTTAGATATTCTCTTATTCCTTTTTCTGAAACAGACATCTTTTTGTATAATCCTGAAAGAGCACTGATAAATTGTTCTTGTATTTCTTTTTCTACATATGTAATTTGATCTCTTTTCTTTACACGTTATTACTCTTTTTTCTTTCTCCTTCCTAACACCAAGTATATGCCAGGTTTGTTTGCGTGTTCAAAACACCTTTTGTTTTAGAAATTTTATTTTTTTCTATACCTCTTCCATTCCATGTCTAATTGTTTTTTTAAAATTTTTCTGATCTCTGCTAGTGCGTGTCTTGGAGTTTTTTTGTGCTCCTGCTCCAATCTCTGGATTTTTTCTACTAATATCTTGGGTTGTTCTGATTTTTCTCTATTCTTCTTGGCAGCAGCTGCTAATAAGATTCCCCTAATAAAAGCTTTGCTTGCTTCCCAAATTGTAGCTGAGGATATTCCTTCTGTATTATTTATTTTAAAACATTCTTCCAGATCTTTTTTACACTTGCTTAGATGCTGAACTGCAGGCTGTGGAAGGTCAGTAGTTCAGCGGTTCTAGACCCGGGTGCCGCAAGACAGGGTGAGCTCCTGTCTCTAGTTCCAGCTCCTGCCAACCTAGCAGTTCGAAAGCAAGAAATTGCAAGTAGATAAATAGGTACCACTTCGGTGGGAAGGTAACAGCGTTCCGTG